ACCAAGATTCAGGGAAGAATACACATGACTCTTGTATGAGGACAATATTTCCTTTTCCTGGAGTTCAGCTTTAACTTTTCCTCTACTAAAAAGGTCCCAGCCATGATTGTGTGAGAAAACAAAACACAGGAAGAATATGCAAACTCCATGCAGATAGTGTTCTTGCTGGGAACTGGACTCCTGTACTGCTATTTAAGTGTTACACAGTGCTTCATTCGTCCAAGTGCAAGTGCCTGAAATAAGAACTGTCTGTGTTGCATTATGGCAACCAATGAGATTCAGACTTTCATTCTCCGTCCCTCAGGGACATAACTAGAAATCACAGGGCCCCATAGCAAAATTTTGTATGGGGCCCCGTGATTGCTAGTTATGCCACTTGCAGAGCCCACCATAGACTCTCTATGGTGGGCTCTGCAAGGTCTCAGTTGGGCTGCACGCCTCTAACCCGCCGCCGGGCCCCTGCCTCCTCTTCCGTCCCTGGGCTCCGCCCCTTCTATCGATAGGCCCCGCCTCTTCTTACATCACTGGCCCCGCCTGCTCTTAAATCACTGACCAGTTATGTGAGAGGAGGCGGGGTTGCTGTTAGGCGGGCCCCGCCTCCTTCTTTACTGCAAACGCCGGTGTAACCGGCCTATTCTGCTGCATCTGCTGGCTGTCGCTGACACAGCTCCGCAGCGTCTGTGAGGGGGGAACGTTCTCCCTCACAGCTGCTGCTGAGCTATGTCAGTGACAGCCAGCACCCGAGGCGCCATAGCGACCCAGGCGGCCCACACGGCATCAGAGGGATGCCCTGGCCGGGCCGCCTGGGTCGCTATGGCGATTGTTACGCCACTGCCGTCCCTCATGTACTAGCACAGGTTTGAATTTGCTGCTCCATAGGAAGTTGCATCTCAGCCTCACCAAAGTTCTTTGCTTGAAGGACAACAACATGAATGCACGGCGGCGCACCATAGAACCGTATAAGGAACACGCACGTTTGTTGATCGTGGTGCAGATATCAGTGTATGTAGCAATTAGCGCTCATCCCATATGTGTTCTGAAGTAGGTGAAAAATCAACCCGTATCCAACCCTGCCTGACATAAGTGCGTTATGCAAGCAAACATAAGCTGCCATATGCATCACGTTTCTGGGAAATCATTTGTGAGCCTGTTAAGCAGCATCTGCAAATCTCATGTTAATCGTTTTACGCTTCCTCGACGAGGCTCAATGTGCAGGCTGGTGATAAACTGCGCTTCCAATGGAATGCTTTCACATCATGGGGAATATACATGTTAAATCGTCAACATCGGCTTCGTGTCGGTCACACAACGCCATGAAGGAAAGATAAACACATGATTCTGAACGCATCCGTTACAGAGACACTGGCGCTATTTTATAAAGCAAAAATCTCTGGCTGTAAAGAATAGAATTAAAGCTGAACTCCGGGGGAAAGTCCACACTTATCCCTGCAGTGGGGGGAAAAACAGATTAAAAAAAAAATGCAGCTGCCACATTAAGGGGTAAGCTGCAACATACAGTGGTACCTCGGTTTACGCTTCTGTTCGCAAACAATTCGGTTCTCGAACAAGAAGTTTGGCAAAATTTTGCTTCCGTTCGCCAACTCCGCATGGTGTGAAGAACACAACCGCAGCCATCTTCCCCGGTCTGACACGTGGCCGTTGCTTCCTCTAGTCGAGATCGCGGTCTGATGACAGTTTGATTCGGTTCACGACCAGTTCACTTCGCGCATCGTGGAACGAATTAAGTTTGTGAACCGAGGTACCACTTTATTTTTGCTTTTGGGGTTAGATATCCTTTGAACTGGCCATACGCCAGTACAATTTCGTTCAAATTTATTTTTGGAATGTTCCATTTTCTACTAGTTAATGGGGTCCTATGAGAAAGCGCGGGATGGAAAAGTTTTCTCGAAGGAATGAAATTCCAGCACTGAATGTGATTTTCGTTGGGGACTTTCCATTTGTTCCAACATCGAATGTTAAAATCAAATGAGATTTTAAATGACATTCGTCAAGTTTCCGATGACATTATCAAACGTTCTGATGAGATTATTTTATATGAATGCTAGTCCAAAAATCAACCAGTGTATGGCCAGCTTGAAAAGGAACTCCGGGCAGTAGAAGACTTAACCCTTGCAGTGGTGCTATCCCGGGTTAAGTGCTCGTTTTCGTCTAGGGTCTAAAATAACAAAAACATACTCACCTAAACCTCGGCTCCAACTGGCTGCTACACCGGTCCTCGCAGCCTTGTTCTGATGGCCTAAGAACCCATGAGTCATCATATCCAATACAGCCCATCACTGGAGTGGAGGGGGAGAGAGGCTGCAAGGACCGGTCTAGCAGCCAGCTAGATCTGAGGTTGGGGTGATTGAATCTTTGTTATTTGAGACCCTACATGAAAAGGAGCCTTAACCCCTGCAACGCAGAGGTTAGCCCAACCGCAAGGATTAAGATTTCTACTGTCGGGAGTTCATATTTAAAGGAGAACTATGGGGTTAGGGCTTTTCCCCATAGTTCTCCTAAGGGTAAAGGGAGGACACAAACTAGCGCCCTCCCGTTACCCAAAGCTCAGTATACCGCGAGTCTCAGCTACCGCGGTATACAGAGACGCCGCAGCAAGAACGGATCCCGACAATTATGTCTGGATCCACCCAGCTGCGTCTAGAGGCAGAGCCAGCTGTACCTGCTCCTTCCCCCGTCCGTTCCGCCAGTCAGCGCTGGAGGATCGGAGCGGGGAGGGGGGAATCCAGTCCCTCGCCTGTCACGGCTCTCTGCCGGCACAGGATCGAGAAGTGAGCGAGCGCCGCTATTGAGCTGACCTGTGACAGTCTCATTGTCACAGGTCGGTTCAGATTATGAGGCTGAGTGAAAATCACTCACCTCATAATTCTCCTTTAAGTCAAATGTGTTACTTCTGTATCTGTGATGTGCACAGTGATTCACGGAAAACAGTATACACTGTATACGTCTTATAATTTCCTGAGTGTTTGTTCCTGGAAAAAAGTTTTTTTGCTGTCTCCTCTGGAGTCTGCTATGAAGTCCCATAGAAGTGTCCACGATTATGCAGAACCTGGAATGTGTTCTCACTTTGCTGTGCGTCCTACTACTCTGCGTTAGCTACCACTGGCAGCAAGCAAGAGCCGCTACAAAGTAACAATTGGTGGAAACTGGAGCTTTCCATTAAGATGCTGCAACAGAAAATGAGCTTGTGCTCGGTGTAAGTGTATATGACAGTGAAAGAGCGCCCCCTGCTGGATTCACACACGCACATTCACACAATTTACAGGGGAACCAGAAACTTTATACTACTATGATCTGTTATGACACAGTTCCCATAGTTAATATGTAGACATGTAAGCTGTGGAAAAATTCGGTTCAGTTTGGTTTGGATATTTCGTTATTTTTCGTGATTCGGATCCGAAATTCAATTCGGTTTGGGTCTCGGATTCGGGTGAAATCCCAATTTTTGTTCGTTTCGGATGAGTTTATGAATATTTGTTGCGAATACGACAGAAAACCATCTACAGATATTATTACTAAATCTGAATCTGCTAGACCCGAATGGCAATCAGGATCCGAATTTCCGAATTGCATTCAAGAGCTCCCGGATGCCATTGGGGTCTGGGAGCCTCAGCTGTAGTAATATATGTATATGGCTCCCGGACCCGAATGGTATACGGGAGCTCCTGAATGCAGGAAACACCGGATCCTGAATGCCATTTGGGTCTGGGAGCCTCAGCTTTAGTATTCTATGTATATACTGTATATGGCTCCCATGTTGCCGTAACAAAAATTCATATTCAGACCTATTCAGATGCATTAAACCGAAAAACACATCTGATTGGCCAGAAAAGTCACATGTGCAATTCAGTTTTGTTTTTGAACAAAATGCGGACGGAATCCGAAATTCGGAACCAGAAATTCAGATTCGGACACATTCCGATGCATTGGGATTCTGAAATGTGGATGTGTCCGAATGTCGGAAAAGTCATCCGAATTTAGGCTCGGAATGAAACGAATCGCGCATGTCTAATAAGAAGTCCTGCTCCAACTACTGCTTGGCACACCAGATATAAAATATAGGGATTTTTCCATCTATGACACACATAACATTAAACAGGAACATGCGTTGCGAATCATTGTTTTTTTTTCGCACAAGTAAAAATGTTGCAATCTGCCCTATTTTATTGTTGCACCACTGACAGTTTATCAAGCGTAATTTGTAAATATGCACGGTACATTTCATTACATCTTTTTTTATTATTATTAAATATTATCTAAAGCCAAACTTTTTCTTTTCTTTTTACGAAGGTTTGGCTACTATAAGAACTGGTTGGAACTCCTGTCAGCTTTATAATGATGTCTAGGTCCCCTTTGGGTACATTTCCCTTCATTTATTGTCCCTAAAACACAGCAGGATATAAGGGGAAATCAGCTCTAAGGCAGTTGTCATTGGAAGTTTCCTAAATGTTTGGCCCTTGCTGTCCATAAATGATATTGGAAGTCAGACGGTGACAGCCCATCAGACTCTACCAATACCTGAAATATTGACTTTTTGGTTGGACTGACACCCAAATTCTTTATATTTCCTAACAATGTGACCTCAGAATACCTATTATGATTGTTGGGATCACACAAAAATCGATGAACGCAGCTGAATAGAGATTTCCAGTTTTTAAAGTGGCCCTGTCACTAAACCAAAACTCCCCAGAAAAGCTTTACATGTCAAAGAAGAGTGTAGATACTTTCCTGTCCTGTCACCCGGGCCGCTGAACACCGGTCCTATAAAGAGGAATTGTTCCCCGAAGCCTGCTGGGAAGTATCGATCTCCTGTGTCTCCTGGAGTATGTATATATATATATATGTATTTGTTTATATAACCTACCCATATCCAGAGTGCCAGAAGAAACTACTTTGCCCTATTATATCTATGGCCTTGTACAGTGCGAAGGGAGGTGACAGCAGTATATTAATGAATATTAATGAATGATCATATGATAGCTTTAGTATATAGTACAATTGGCAGTTGAATATTGGGTACATTTGAAGTCGTTAGTGGATTCGGTGAATCCCGGAGCTGAGACCAATTCGGAACCTAAGACAAAAACAGAATGTTAGGAAACGTCCTTCTGCTAACCATACAAACTCATTCTCTTCTCTTTACATCAGAAGATACAGGATATAAGTATGAGGGCTCGTTTAAACCAACCCGTGTGCTCATCAAACTGTCCCGTGCCCGGAACGCAAGGGATCACATACACAAAGTCTCCTTGCGTTCTGGAGCAGGAGGGGGTGGGACAGTTTAATTGGCATCACAGGATTTCGTGGTAATAAACATTGCTCGACCCTATTAAAAAAAAAGAAAAAAAAAAAAAAAGGTTGCATTTCACTTGAAGTAGAATTGAAGCCAAAACCTATTTTTTGTTTTGGATAGAATTTTGGAGGGGGTTTATTTTGCCATTTTGTCTCATTAGGGATATTTCCCTTCACTTCCTGTTCAATATCCACAACAGGAAGTGAGAGAAAATCTATCCAAAGACAGGGAAATCCCTGGTGGGCCGCAATATCAGCAGAACTAGTGTCCCTATTGGAAGATTCCCATCTATTCCTGTTCTCATGAACAAGAAAAAACGTGGAATGCATGTCACCACATTTGCGACATGTATACTTTTCCGCTTTTGGTGTGCATTCAGGGACCCAAAGGGGATCAATGGGATTCCCTCTATGCCTTGGTGTGAACGGGGCTGAACTGTTAAGTGGAGATTTGCTATCTTATGGACAACATCTAGAAATGTTAAATGTGCCTAAGCAGTACCCAGAAAAATCTACCTTTTGTCTTAATTTCTCCAGAAAAATATCAGTGCACTTCCTGTGCCTTGAGCCTCATAGCTGTATATCTGCAGTGTGAGATCTAAGGCACTGCTGCCTATGACTGCCAATCTCGCCAGATCTGGAGTGAGATTTGGTGATGTCTGTACTGTGCTGCTCACTGTTCTACTTGCTGGAGAGGAAGCTATAGCTGAGAACCTGCAGTGCAAGGATCTCCTTGCTTCTGCTTTATCCATTCTGTAAATCTGTGCTTTCCCCATCCCTTCTGATGCTTTTTGATCGTACACCTACTCAGTCATGAGATCACTAGTCATCAGAGGGGGCACTTTGATATGAGGAAGCAAAGCAATGCCTCTACCAAGATGGTCACATACACACAGCATGAGACAAGTCATGTTAAGTCATTTCTTCCACAGTACAGATCATCTTAAACAGGCCAGTGAATGGAAAATGTAATGGTACATCATTTTGGTTTGGGTTTTGATTTGCTATGACTGACTTCACTGAAAATTCACTTTGATGGCTTCAACTTTGAGGTTTGATAAATGACCCCCAAAACCCATAAATAAAATGAAGCAATATTTCATCAGTGATAGATGGAGCACATGTTACTGTCTTTGAACTAGCTTGATAAATATGGCCTCACATTTCTCAAGGTATCGCAAGAATCTTACCCTCAGCCAGGTTGTGGAGATTACAATAGTTGATGCCTTTGTCCTGCACAATATACCATGGCTCAGATACAGAAAATGCCTGCAAAATTACACATTTCATCATTGGTATTTCCTTTATACTTATACATTGGTATATCCTTTATATTTCTATACTTTGAAACAACGATCATTAAAGTCTATGTATGTCTAAGTCTATAGAAGTCTATGTAATTTATAGAACCATACTCTATTCCCCATAGAGCCCAATGTCGTTGTAGGGTCATGTTTCCTTGTTGTTGTGGGTAGGGATAAATGTACAGACTGGCACAGTGGGCACATGGCTATAAGTGACAGAGGCCAAAACTAAGTTTTTCTTTGTGCAATTATTGGCCACATATTGTTTCCAATTATCAGTACGAGTTGTTGGTACCATGCATAGGCCAATTATTTCATCTTCATACATAGACCTCGAATACAGAGTTGCGTTATTACCTGGGCACAAGAGAATCACATGTTCGCAACAGAAAACCCTACACCTCCACTCATTACTTTCCATAGCAGAATAGGATGAAGATTGTTATTGGCCAGACAGCACACTTGTCTTATTTGCTGGTTCTTCCTTTTCTTTGCTCCCATGTCACTGTGTCGTCGTCCCCCCTTCCTGTTTAATTGTGTCTGAGACATTTCATCCCCATCCCTCCCCTCTCCCATGTCTGCAGCATCTTACTCTCCACTCCTCTGTGTCAGTGTGTCTGCAGCAACTGAACTCCCCTCAATGGGTCTCTATCATCTCTCCCATCCCCTGTGTTACTTTATCTGCAGCATCTCTCCCTTCCTAGTGTTACTTTGTCTGCACCATCTCTCCCTCCCCTCCCCTCCCCTGTGTTACTTTGTCTGCACCATCTCTCCCTCCCCTCCCCTGTGTTACTTTGTCTGCACCATCTCTCCCTCCCCTCCATTGTGTTACTTTGTCTGCAACATCTCTCCCTCCCCTCTCCTCCCCTCCCCTGTGTTACTTTGTCTGCAACATCTCTCCCTTCCCTTCCTTCTGTTACTGTATCCACAGCATCTCTCCCTTCCCTCCCCTCCCATCCCCTGTGTTACTTTGTCTGCAGCATCTCTCCCTTCCCTTCTTTGTGTTACTGTATTCGCAGCATCCCCCCCATGGTTCCTGTGTGTGTTGTAAAGTAGCCAATTTACACACCCTTTTTGGGTGAGTAGAAGCAAATTCTACTCTGCCAATATTGATACATGATTAACTATTTTCTGATGCTGAAAGTATATTTAATATAATAAGTGTTGTGGCAATTGAGTCATTATTTATGTTAGATTAGCCACCCTCGGTCCCCAGAGGAATCATACCAGCGAAACGCGTCACGACAAGGGCCTACGAATGCAAGCCACTGAGAATTAACATTGTGACGGATCAAAAAGAAAAATCAAGATGTTAAATGAACAATAATACAAATGGCTTTCATATTGGTACAAGTCTGTAATGGGGCTGCGTTAGATGTCAGGCTATGTAGAAGGGTGTTTACACTAATGTGCTTTTCATTTTTTGTAAACAATTTTTATCATGATCTTGTGTCATTCAACAAAATAAAATATGTTTTTATCATAACTTATGCAATGGTGGCGCGCCTCTTTAAACCCCATAATTCTTGGTTTGTGTAATGTTATAAAGTAGCCAGCACTCCAAGCTCGCTCCTGTGATGGACTACAATCTCATGTTTAATTTACTAATTTGTATTGAGATTGTAGTCCATCAAGGAAGTGAGCTTGGAGCGGTGACTTCATTACAACACACACAGGGACCATGGGGAACAAAAGTAGCCACCCTCCAGAAGGAAGGACAGTGTCAGCACCAATTCAGAGATGATTTGAGGATCTACAGCCGAGTGATACACAAATAAGACACATTTTTGTTAATAGTTAGGGGACTTGATTGTATTTTTAAGATTAAACTCCTGAGTTTTGTGTCACTTTAGGTGCAGTTTTGAGGTTACAGAAGGTGCTGCTCAGTGTCACCCTTTCAAAATATACCAAAACCTTTGTAATTGAAAAAAAACATCAGTGTCTTCTTTCCCTGACAGTATTTTTATATCATTTTCTTTTCTCTGAGACAAACTGTAGACTTTAGGTTACTTACCGACACCTGGCAGGAATGCATTACCCCAACTGGCCTCAACTTGAACGTCAGGTCATCCACATAATTGTGCATCAAGTTCCTGTGCTTTGCCACAATATAATGTTCATTGGCTGACTGGAGCTAAAAAAACAAATAAAATACCTTCATGAGAAAATAATGTTGAAATGTTGTACACTGGATCTAAGTTATCAAAGTATCCTTAAATTGGAGTTTATTCTGCTTATATTTTGCCTTCCTTGGTTTCTCCTATCAACATGCGCATGGAGTTTTTAAATACATTTTCCCATTTTCAATACATACCTTATTTTAGACCCAGCTACAGCATCACTGGGTCTCTGTGCGTCGCAATGTTGTAGATCATGGCTGATGGGAGGCAGGGTGCTGTACATAGGTTGAAAACATCAGAGCACCCTGCCTCTGTACTCAGCTCTGATGCAAGCAGTGCAGTGCAGTGGGCTGGCTCTTGGGAGGAGCTATGCAAATATTAAAATGCCTCGAAAAGTGGATATTAGTCTCGAGGAGTGGGGGGTCCTAGACAGGCGGCATTTGCATGCAGATCGCCTCAGGTAACGCCTATATGTGATGCTGAATGAAGAGGGCAGGTCAGGGACAGTCAGGCTGGGGAGAAATGAGCTACATGATGCTGGACATCCTCCAGCCAGCAGGCAGATTCCATCAGCTGCAGCTTGTAATGCACATTGCGGGGGGCTCACAGTGTGCAGCGAAATCAGAGTAAGCTATTTTAATACCGAAGAGGAGCTGGTACAACTGTGCAAGACGGAAGATAAGGCTGGAGTTCAACTTTAAAGAAAACCTGTCCCAAAATTCATGCATTGGGTAATCGAGCTCCTTATTCATGAGCATGCATTGAATAATTACATAAGCAGGGGTTAAATTTAGTAAAAACCAGAATATCAAATAAATCGGCAACTGCAACAGTAAAGCTTATACAATGCATTCAATTTATATCCAGTCCTTAAAAGGAGATTGTACAGCAGTGATGTGCCGTGCCTTCTGTGCTGGGTGAGGCATCCCCCAGCCAGCTGAAGCTCCGCCCCTGTCCCACCGAAGCTCTGCCCCATCCCGCCAAAGCCCCGCCCCAAGCTCGGTAACCAAGCTGTGTGGGAGGGAGGAGCCTCCCTGTCCCTCACTTGCTCGTCACTGGTGAGGCATCGAGATCGATGTCCTCACTGGGTTTTTTTTCTATTTTTTGATTGAACAGCTTGGACTTGAAGCTGACACCTTTTTTCTTCATAATACTACGTGAGGCTCAGCCATACCTGTCTCCCCTGACCGCACGTCCCTGTTGTACAGTATAATCAGATCGTAATGTGTGTGGGCAGCTTTGTGTGATGGCACATGTGGGAACTAAGATAAAATCATGTGACTAACATCAGCCATTTTTTTAGGTAGACGACAGCTTACCTCATACAAGCACCTTTCTCCACCTTCTTTTATACAGTTGTCCACCGATGTCCAAAGCTTTATTTGGGTCACCAAACTTGTGTACACATTGAAACAAGGGATTCCAAAATTCCTGCGCAATGACATTTAAAAGATATATTTTCAATAGGAAAGAATTCCTAAAGAACCAGCCGACCAAAATGTGATATTTCAGTTCTTAGTACATACTGGAGAATTAAACCATATGATGTTTCTTCTGTCTCTCCAGAACCCTATTGGTGGGATCTCAGAACCAGGTTCCCAGGTCTGCACACCTCATGTGGCCATTATGAGGAGCTCCCACTTTCCCTGTCGGATTTTAATGTATTTTATATTATGGAGGATCTTACAGGAGGAGCTATACACAGAAAGGGAGAGGTGAAACTCTACAACTCCCAGGAGGACAGGAAGTCAGCAAGTAAGGCCAAAATATATTGACGTTGTCAAGACATATAAGAAGACAAAGGGTTGAAGACCCTTTTGGGTAGAATATATCTTCATGAAGTGGTGGATCTTATCATTTGTAAACAGCAATGAGTATCATGGTGATCCTCATTGCTGTTTACTCTGTATACGCACGGCGCCATCCATGGACTTCACTACAACCACCACCATTACTTCTGTTCTTTATTGCTACATGGTGTGCAGAGGACGTCTTTGATTATTGGTTTTATAAGTAGGATATGAGAGCACGCGTATGAACTATCGTTCCTTTATTCATGTATAGTCATACATTCCACATATGTGCAGTCTTCACAAGTCGTGGCAGAGTGGGGAGACTGGCTTAGTGGGCAAGGCCACCAAGTTATAAAGACAGAGCACACTTGCAAATATTTGCACTCAAAGGCATAATTCAGCCACAGTAGCCTTGGGCTGGAGTTACTCAATAGTCCTGATATGAAGCCTCATATGATGCTTTGGTCACTTCTTTGTCTCTATAGCAGCTCTGTATGGTAAAAGGACAAGTTGGATGGCCCAGCATCTTCATACATGATTTTGATGAAGATCCACAAGACATTTTGCATGTTTGCAAGAGGCAGCATTGCAGGGATCCCAACCTGAAAAAAGCAATTTCAGGGAGGTGCCCTTCTCATTTCAGGGAAGTGACGTCTACCATATCTCTCACCCCCCCCTCCCCCGTGCCCGAAATGATGGCAGATAGACGGGAAGCAATAGATTCTTTGCTATCTGCTGGTTTTTTTTTAGTATTCTGATAGCTGCTGCCGTCAGAATATTTAAAAAAAAACAGCATTGGAATGCATAGCTGGATTGCTATTGGCTATTTCAATTTGCAATATCCAATGGCAACCTGGCTATTGCAACCGCCCTCTTTTGTTGTCAATCACTAGAAGAAGACCTGATGGAGAACTTCAGGTCCCACTCTGCTGGTTGACAGCAACAGTGGGTGGGTGCAATAGCTAGTCTGCTATTGGCTATTGCAAAGTGAAATAGCCAATAGCAATCTAGCTATGCATTCCTATGCTGGGTTTTGGGTTTTTTTTGTTCTCTGACTGACGTCGACCGATGTCAGAAAAAAAAAGAAAGGAAACAGAGCAGGGAAAGGTTTATTCTGCTTTCCGGGAGAAAATGTTTCTCTCACGGGTGTCTGGGAGCTGCTATCTAATAGCGGGAGATTCCCAGGGGGTCCGGGAGAGTTGGGATGCCTGGCATTGTAATGTGGCTTCTCTAGGACATCAAAGAGTGGAATGAGGCGCCAGCTCAGGATTCTGTTGATCTTGTGACATCACAGCCCTATGCTGTTTAAATATAACATAGTAACATAGTAGGGGAGGTTAAATAAAGACCAAGGTCCATCCACTTCAACGTGTGTGTGTGTGTGTGTGTGTGTTTGTGTGTGTGTGTGTGTGTGTGTGTTTGTGTGTGTGTGTGCATACTTCAGAAAGAAAAGAAGGAAAGGAAAGTTGTAGTCACATATCTCAGGTAAGAGTTCCAGTTAATTTTTTCAGTAATAACCATTCAACCACATAGGCACTGCAGTTGGATCACTGCATGAAGTGTACCATCAGCCTTTCTCAACCATTATACACCAAAGTAACTCCTAAAATAATTCTCATGTCTCAGGAAGCCCCTGCTAAAAGTGAATATATCTACAGCTTATGGAACATAAGTGCGATCAGTAAGTAATAGATATAAAAATATATAAAATAATGAATAATGTAGAGTATTTAATGAATGTTACCCACAGAGTAGATTATTTTTAACACCCCCCTTAACTATACGACAAAATAGTTTCAGTAATAATCACCAAATGAAGATAATAATCATGGTCAGAACAGAAAAAAACATATTGATAGTTGTAATGGACCTTTACATTGGTGGTCAGTGAAGAAGTGGCACATTACATTGGTGGTCAGTGAAGAAGTGGCACATTACATTGGTGGTCAGTGAAGAAGTGGCACATTACATTGGTGGTCAGTGAAGAAGTGGCACATTACATTGGTGGTCAGTGGAGAAGTGGCACATTACATTGGTGGTCAGTGAAGAAGTGACACCTTACATTGGTGGTCAGTGAAGAAGTGGCATATTACATTGGTGGTCAGTGAAGAAGTCGCACATTACATTGGTGGTTTAGAAAAAGAGTGATCCCTTATTTTTTTGTGGTCGTTGAAGTGCTCCCTTACAATGTCGGTCAGTGGACAAGGGCTACACTGAAGGGTGACACTACACTGGCTGCCCTTAAATTGGTAGTGCCCCATTACATTGGAGATCTGTTTAGAAGAGCCCCTAACTTTGCTGGCCTATGTAATGCCCCCTTACATTGGTGGTCATTGTAGTGCCCACTTACATTGGTGGTCAGTGTGGAAGGGCAAACTTACACTGGCAGTTAGTGGGTAAACTGCCCCTTAGATTGGTGGTCAGTGGGGGATATACCTCCTTACATTGGTGGATACTAAATTCACCTTTACATTAATTGTTATGCAGGAGATCGAATTGCCACCGCCCCACTGCTCAAGAAACCACTTGCAACCCCTAGAGCAGGGGTTCTCAACCTTTCTAGGGCCGGGGCCCCTTGGTAACATTTGGCAAGTTGCGGTGACCCCCAACCATAAAGATTTAGGGATGCACCAATACTAGTATCTGTGTGGGCTCTCGGGAGGCTATGCGGGCTCTCAGGTGGCTAGTGGGACTCTCTGGTGGCATCCAGTGCAGCCTCTGTGGTACCCAGTGCAGCCTCTGTGGTGATCAAGCACTCACCAGCCCTCACTCCCGCCTGATCCCCTCTCTCTGATCCTCTCCGGAACTGACACTGCTGCGCTAGGAGGCGGCTGAGGAGCCTCTTACCTAGAGCAGCACAAGGCGCATGGGGACCCCCTCAACTGTGTGTTGCGACCCACTTTTGGGTCGCGACCCACAGGTTGAGAACCACTGTCCTAGAGGAACCGTAGAGTTACATGGAGTCCTCAGTGAGAAGGGCCGTTCTGCATCACGAATAATGGCGATTTTTTTCAGACATCTGTGAACATAGAAAAGCAGAGCTGAGAGTAAAGAGTCTGGATTTTGCATACTGTACTTAAAGTAATGATGAAAGAATGATTAA